TTATCAAGACTATAAAGGTGTTTAGGACTATGTGATTAGGTGACTTCTGCTGAGATGGCATCAGATCACCTTTGCATCTGATTCTTCACTCCTTCCAAGACCCTTCCAAATTCTGTAGCTGTGATTGAACCTGCCAGGTGATATCAACTTCAGTAAGTGCTCCGAGTGCAGGGGATTGCTTTTAACCATCTGTGAACCCTCTGGCTGTAGTTTCTGGAAAACAGATACTCCTAACAGCTATCAGTATTTTTGGCACTTTCTCCAAGGTAGGAGGTGGGAGTATGTTGAACCCTCCTGCTTCTATCCCTCAATCCTAAGAAGCAGGGGAGTTTCAATAGATCAGGGTTGTCTTTTCCTGGGTCCCCCTAATGCTGTCATTGGAGGCAGGGGGCTTCTACAACACAAAGCTCATGCTCAAGGAAGCATGTTCCTTCTTCCAACAGGATGTTTTGTCATGAGGCATCTGTTGGTACCTATGACAGCTGGAACTGGAAAGTTTAAGTAGATGTCCTGGAGGCAAGAGCTGGGCCAGAGCTGGAAATATAGAACCAGGGATGACAAGGATTTTGTTTTTATTTTAATTAAAAGGGGAATAAAAATAGCCACCAGTGCAGAGTACCTCAAATTTCCCAAATATGGATGATTTTGTTTTGACTGTTGATGATATACTTTTGCAGTGTCCATTAATCACAGAAAGGTATGTCCTAAATTACTCAACCATCTGACATAATATAGTCTCTTCTTGCACCTTGGGTAAGGGATCAATGAGAGATTGACTTTCTTAATTTAGTCAAATAGATTTTTTTAATCAATTTATAATTGGATATAACTTTGCAGAAACAAAAGAAATAATAAACATTGGGGATAGCAAGTTGTTAAGCATTCCTTCCACAGTGGAGGGGCCTCTCTCCTCTTTGGTCTTCCAGCTTCCATTTCCTCCTTTTGACTAGGGCTGGGTATTCCTTGACTCTGTAACAGGATATGAGCTCTCCTGACTTCATCTCTCCCATGGCTCTGGCCAGCTGCTAGGTCAGCTTGTGAATGTCTATGAACTTGCTTATTTACTTATTCTTAGTATGCCACCTTTTAGGGCAAAGCCCTCCTATGGTGGTTTACAAAAGATGGTTAGTTTCAAACAAATACAGCATAATTTAGTTTCATAAGCATAACTAATGAACTAATCCAGATCAGTGCCTGGATGAGAAATATTGTTAGTGGGGAGGGGGCTACGAAAAGCTTTCTGGAGGAATTAACAACAGTAGGACAATGCCTTCTTTACTAGACCCAGTTAAAATGTCACACAAAATAGTGAACAAGCCTTCAAGTGCCCTAGAACTCTTCTTGCTGGACATTAAAAGGTGGGTGAGAGGGAATCAAAAAGTAGGAGGCAGGGGAAAAGCACGACAATATACAGGTGGTCCAATCTTAAGATGGAAAGCAAGAGGCAGAGGACAAAAGTGACCAAGTGTTTGGGGTTAGGGCAAGGCTCCTGCACCTTGAATAGTTTGGTGTTGTTTAGTCGTTTAGTCGTGTCCGACTCTTCGTGACCCCATGGACCAGAGCATGCCAGGCACTTCTGTCCTCCACTGCCTCCCGCAGTTTGATCAAACTCATGCTGGTAGCTTCAAGAACACCATCCAACCATCTCATCCTCTGTCGTCCCCTTCTCCTTGTGCCCTCCATCTTTCCCAACATCAGGGTCTTTTCCAGGGAGTCTTCTCTTCTCATGAGGTGGCCAAAGTATTGGAGCCTCAGCTTCAGGATCTGTCCTTCCAGTGAGCACTCAGGGCTGATTTCCTTAAGAATGGATACGTTTGATCTTCTTGCAGTCCATGGGACTCTCAAGAGTCTCCTCCAGCACCATAATTCAAAAGCATCAATTATTTGGCTATCAGCCTTCTTTATGGTCCAGCTCTCACTTCCATACATGAATAGTTTGGTAGAACAGGGCATTTCAGTAACTAGTTTGTCACTGACAATTCCCTGAAATGCCTTCTCCCACAGAACCACTAACTATGCAGATGCCCTGTCCTCTCCCACACCTAACTAGTCTAGGTCTAAGGCGGCAAGTGTACAGGAGAGGATCTATCCACAAGAAAAACTGACCATTACCCTTTGGTGAATTTCCATCTACATTTGGAAATGGAGTGTTGGAGTGCTCTTCCATATTTGGAGTCTTCCATTCATCAGTGGGCTGTCACGCTAGAATGTGGTGCAAAAAAAGTGAAACTAAAGCCAAGAATGTTATTTTGTTTGCACAAGGGTTTGCTTACACAAGCTCTTGCATGAGTGGGAGCATGAGAATTGCTATAAAATCTATCTGTAATAGCACTGCATGAATTCGCCATGAATTGTGTGTGAGTCTTTTCCGAAAGAGTTGTATGAGTTATTTTCTTTCCCAAGGTCTTTGGATCCAGCCTATGGGGTGCTGACAGAACAATATTCTGCACTCTTTCAAATTCAGAAGGAAATCCAGTGGTGGAACCTTTAATAGCACTCATTAGCACAAGAGGACATGGGCGGTGTGTTACCAACCACACGATGTCTTCTAACACACTTAATCCAAATGTAGCTTTGGCATCTTTGTAATAACGCCTAATATAAGCAGAACATGGAGACCATGTGGTGGTTACACTGTACATTGAAGGAGTATTGGTAGAACACTTTTTGTGACAAGTGGGTTTGAACAGATCAGAAGCTCCCTGGAAGTGATGAGTCCTAATCAGTGGAGGTTGGTCCATTAGGGCAAAGTGCACTGCCAACCTCAGCCTGCTCCCACCCACCTGCCTTCCTCCTTACATTCAGTCCAGGAAGTGTCACTGCCTATCAACTTCCTCTTTCTCCTTAGTTTTAGTGTTGCCCTAGTAGAACAGAGTAGGGAGGAAGGTGGGGGCCAAGCTAGAATTAGTTTCAATTTGCTGGAAGTTGCCCAGGGTGACTGGGGCAACCCAGTCAGATGGGTGGCATAATGATATTGATATTGATAATAGCCTCTGGCTCCACCTACTGTTTAGGTTCCTTGCTTTCTGCCTTCCCAGTCACCAGCCACTACTGGCCCAAATTTAACAGCACAGTATAAACTAATTCAACTTTCCAATTTCTGTTTCACAACTTGCTCCCTCTCTTCCCCCATCCATGTAAACTTTCTGTGGCTTACATAGACAACCTAACATAAATCCTCTTTTCCCAAGCTTCATGTGGCCTTTCAGATATACTATATATCTAATGAAAAACGGTGGTTCCCAATGCAAAACCATTAAATAGGGATTCAAATGTATGGAAAAACTAAATGAAATATTTTCCATTTGTTTTGTCCAATAATTTTTGTTCCATTTGCTTTCAATATAAAACACATTAAAATGAACGTGGCACCTTCAGTTGTTTTTCTTCATTTTAAAAACAAATCCCTGCCCCTGTTTTAGATGCCCCTGGACACAGGTTCTGCTAAAATAAAAAAATAAAGAGCTTCAAATCCCAGTTTCCCTAGATGGGCCATTGGTCTGCTCTAGCAGAGCTCTTTTTTATGTTCTTATGTTCACAGTATAAACAACGCTTTTTCTACAAATTACTTCAGATTCAAAAGACAGTTCCTTCCTTCCTTCCTTGTAATGTCTTAGAGCAGAAAACTTTGATTTGTTCTTCTACATGTAAAACACTTCTGACTTTTTTTATGCTTTCCATTAATTTGCCCAGAGCAGAAATTAAGCAAATGGGCCTCTAATGTTCGGAATTCTCCTGAATCCTTTTGCACATATTTATCTTATCTTGCCTACTGTTCAGCTCTCCAGTGAGAAGGCTGATTTTAGTGTCAAGTTGCATATTTGTGTTTGATTCCATTAGCTCCCTTAGTCACCACAAGTGACTTTTTAATTTGCCAGTTTGCCTTGGAATGTAATTTCTTGTTAATTACTTTTCAACTTTGTTTTGCAGATGCCCTCCTGGTTCAGGCATGGGTATCTGTCCAACGTCTTCCACAGTAAAGACCAACACAAATAATTAATTCAGCCTCTCTGAAATCTCCCTGTCCCCCTTCAGTAATCCTTTAACACCTTTGTCATCTAACAGTTCAACCTTCATGTACTGTGGCAATGTCTAAACTCAGACATTTATCTGCTGTCAGCAAAAGATGTCAGCAACAGCAGAAACAATGCTGAATTCTGTTGAAATGAAAGCACAGACAAGGGCAAACTGTCAGCAATTAGTAGATTTCACACCATTTTAGAACCATGTTCAAAGGACTAGATTCAGCAGATGTGTCTCTTGCTCAGCAGGGAAGACATTAGTAATCTGGAGCCAGGTACTGGAAGATCAAGAGAAGCCAGAGACAGGAGGAAAGAGGCTAACAGTTGCTAACCACCTGTAGGGTTGCTCTTGGAAAGCTGGAATTAGCAGCAGGGAAAGCTACTAGCATAGAGTTCCTGTTGTTAGAGTTGTATAAGTTGTACAACCTTGTCAGTCAACAAGACCTTTGTGTCAATCTCCTCAGTCTCTTTCTTTCCATAACACTTTTCGGAAATGTGTTGATTGAGAAAAACAGCACTTTCTTCTTCATTGTTGACAATAAGCTTTCCACCCACTTGTCTAAGACGAGGGTTTATTTTCAAATCTAAGACCTTGAAATTTTCCTTCATTTTCCAAATATTTTGGTCAGATACAAAGTGTATCTTGCCTCTGAAGTTCTGATTATTATAGTGCCATTGTTAAGAATTTGCAATTGGAAGGGGACATAGTCTTTTATCAAGTGTATATTAGTTTTATATTATCTTGTTGTGTTGCTGCTGTTCTAGCTATAATAAAGAATTTGATGGTACATTGTTTTAATCATTGATTATGATGTTTTGTATGTAACTGATGTGGTTTTTACTTTGGTTTTATAATAGATATATATATAACTTGCCTGAGTATAATTGAAGGGTTAGCATATATATTCAATCAATCAATCAATCAATCAATCAATCAGTCAATCAATCAATCAATCAATCAATCAATGAATCCATTGAGCCTAGGATAGCTCAGTTGGTAGAGCATGAGACTCTAATCTAGAGACATGGGTTCAAGCCCCATGTTGGGCAAAAGATTTCTGCATTGCAGCAGTTGAACTAGAAAACCCTCGTGGTCCCTTCCAATTCTACTATTCTATGATTACACGTTAAAGTAAATGCCATTGAATTCCATGGCACTTAGTCTGCCTAAGACATGCATAGGATTTCACAATAAGAGACACAGATAATGGGACTAAATAGCTAAACAAAATAGAAAACAGAGAATGGAGAAGCAAGAGAAACCTAAGCTTTTTAGAGCTTCTGAACAATTAAGGTTGCCAACTTATGAGATATATACCGTATTTTTCGCTCTATAACACGCACCAGACCATAACACGCACGTAGTTTTTAGAGGAGGAAAACAAGAAAAAAAATATTCTAAACGAAGTAGTGGATATATGATTTTTGTGGTTCATGCTGTGACCACAGACATGTGATCTGACAGTGAGTTTGGAGTAGCCCAATGCAAAAATCCTGAGGATCCATGTGGATCCATGCTTCGTAACCACGGAGGAGGGAAGGAAGGGGAACCATGGATCCTCTACTCACGACTGCAGCAGATCCCCACCACCACCCGCAGGCATTCGCTCCATAACACACACAGACATTTCCCCTTACTTTCTAGGAGGAAAAAAGTGAGTGTTATGGTGCAAAAAATACGGTATTTAAATCTCTGCATTGGGCTGCCATACGTCCAGATTTTCCTGGACATTACTGGGATTTCAAAAGCGGAATTGATTTCCAGGGGGAATTTCCAAAAGGCAGTGCTTTGTCCTGGATCTTAGGCAAGTCAATAGAAAAAGTGTGGGGTGTTTTTGTGTTGTTTTTTGGTGTTTTTGTAAAAAACAACAACTTTGGAGATTGTCTTAAAAAATTCAACCATTGGGGGGGGGTTGTGTTTTGTTTTTTTAAAAAACAGAAAGCTCAACCAGGAATGTCCAGGTTTTTACTTTTTGGAAAATGACAACCCTATCTCTACAGCATCTCTGGGATGCAGCATAAACATATGCCAAAGCTTTGCACACCGTTAGTGTGTGTGTATGACTCATTTGCTCCACTTCTGTAAAGTGAGCCTCATATTTTGGCATTCATTCAATGAAGAGAAAAATCTGGCCATGAAGAGGGAGATCTGGGAGGGGAGGAGGAACAGCTCGTTGAGAACCATATGAATAACATTGAATATCCAATGTAATATTATTTCTAAGTTGGATATAATTATATTTAATAATAGCTTACTTGACCTCTATCTGCTATTTAAGAACACTGCTGAGCACTTAAAGTATTTCCTAGAAAACTTAAAACATTTACTTGTGAAAATTATAGCACTGCAATTACAAATTAAGACTTTCACACACATTTGCACATCTGAATTATGGAAAGCAAAACATAGGAATATGGTCAGGTAGAGCAATGGAAACAATCTCTCCTCAACTGGTATATTGCTTCTTGCTCCTAAGTTCATGTTTAAGGGCTTTTCTACACTTACCATTTATAGAAGAATAGTTTCTGGGCTTTTTTTGGATTTTTGGGGCACATTGCCACAAAATGTTGACATTATTCATTTTGCAATCTGGAAAAGTGTCCTCAAAAACCCGCATTTTCTTGTCCTGCAAAAAATAAATTGAAAAAAATCCAACTTTTGTTAGAGATTTTGAAAATAGATCCTCCTGGTTTTCAGTTGTGCGGCATATGCACAAGCATCATCCCAGACTTTGTGTGGAGGGATGTGGATTAGTGGGCATGGTGTGGGAGACGTCGGTTTCATGCTACCTCCACCTGAGAAGTCCAAGCTGTCAGTTTACGAGCTCCGTCCAGAGGAGAAGAAGAAGAAGGGTTTGGATTTGATACCCCGCCTTTCACTCCCCTTCAGGAGTCTCAAAGCGGCTAACATTCTCCTTTCCCTTCCTCCCCCACAACAAACACTCTGTGAGGTGAATGGGGCTGAGAGACTTCAAAGAAGTGTGACTGGCCCAAGGTCACCCAGCAGCTGCATGTGGAGGAGCAGAGACGCGAACCTGGTTCCCCAGATTATGAGACTACTGCTCTTACCACTACACCACACTGGCTCTCTTGTGAGAATATAAGAAGAGCCTGCTGGATCAGACCAGTGGCCCATCGCAGCACCTTGTTCTCACAATGGCTAACCAGATGCCTGTGGGACAGTTCAATATGCTGGTGCTTTCCTTTAAAGCCCTAAATACCACTGGTCCTGTATATCTCCTATATGTGCCTCCCTGTTTGCTGCAACAGACTGGAGGGGCCTCCATGTTCTCTTATTCACCATGTTGTATTATTCAAGCTTGTGGGGCAGAGCCTTATCAGTTGTAGCACTCACACTTTAAATTGCCCTTCCAAGAGACAAAGGCCTATCCTGCTACGTTTCATCACCAAATCACAGATTTATTAGGAAGGGAGGCATCTCTCATTCATTAGAATATTGACGCCAATGTGGAGGTCTTCCCCGTTTGCTAGATTTTGGCTTGTCACCCAATTACTATGTGTACAATTGTTATATTTCATGTGACTGTTGGTTTGCTTTTTGTTGTTTGATTTGGGTATGGTGCCATGATTTTTAGCCTTGGCTGTATGTTGCTTCAGGTACTTTCAAAGCTGAAAATGTGACTGATTAGCTTTCTGAATTAACTGAATCAGTGCATGTATGCATAAATTCTATTACCACCTTGAGCTTTACAAAGCGAGCTATTGCAAATCTTAAGAAATAACCAGGAACACACACTGATACCTTAAAAGTTAACAGATAAGTATTCTATCATTGTCTTTGGCTATTATTTCGCATATCCTGACATATATTTGATCCACAATCTTAAACTTCAGTCCGGCCACAAACATACAAAGAATTTTCTTCTTCTTCGCTGTGTATAACACATTATTTAAATTCAGTCCAAATATTCCTTGTTCAGCAATATGCTAAGTTCTTTTATTGCAACCTGAGCTGAGGAAGAGTGATGATCTTGAGGAAGAATCAGTGGACAACTGAAAAGCCTATGACGGATTTCAAAGCTAGCTAGGGCCTAATTGGTTGAGACCCAGAAGGTTTGGGGGGGGGGGAATGTCAAACGTTATGATTCTTGCTCGATAGAAAGTCTTTTCTGAGTTACAACAGACAATCTTTAACATTGATAATGACATACAAACAATGAAACTGGTGTTTCTGCCAGCAGCGACAGAGCTACATGTTTTATATGTGCAAGGCAGTGGAAAGAAGTATTATGTGAGGGGGGGGGGGAGAAGACAATCTAGATTTATTAAAAGACAGAAGCCTGGACATTCAAGAAAGAAAGAGAGTATCTTAACCTCAGAATATACACTCAATCATTCAAGTGATGTAAAAAGTGACCTTGTCCTCCTCGCATTACGCTGGGAGAGAATGCATAAATTACACAACACAGCAGTATGATTTTATTTTGCTTTTTTGCAACAAAGCAATTTCCTGGAAGGTATTTAAAGTCAGATTCAAATTACTGGGGAATATCTCAGTGCGCTTTGTTTGTCCGTGGCGTTGTCAGCGCTTTATGTCAATGCTACATAAAATTAAAATATACACTGTTGTGTGTCTAGGTGTGTGTGGCTTAGGATCCTTCGGAGGAATGCTTTCTCCCAGACTGAATAAAATGTAACAGAAGGAGGCTCCAAATGAAATTTTATAGCTGCCTGAAGTTCCTGATTTCCCTATTCTTTACTATGTCAACTTGGAGCTGATATGTCCATACAACGAAGAGGGAAACAGGCAACAACAATGAGAAAAACGGACATGGGGGAGACAAAAAAGAGAAAGCCCTAAATGGTATTGTATGGCTCATAATGGGTTCACTGAGCAGAGGTTACTTTCTTTCAAACTATGAATAATTTTATTATCTCAATTTGTTTTAAAAGAATTTTGCAGCAAGGAGATTTTTTTGTGGTTGCTACAAAAACATATTTCTGTATTATGGATTTACCATTGTTTGCCTTACAATTTTTGTAAGATGTAGCTTCAGCAAAGCATAAAAATGCAATAAAAAAATTCTATATTGTTTACAACCCCACCTAGTGGTCTTCTGTTTCAAATTTTAACAGTAAATATGCATTGTGTATTATAGGCATTCCTCAGGACTCTAGAGCTTTCTAGATTTTTTTATTTTTAACGTTCTGTAAACATTTTAGAACTAAAGAAAAAGGATTTTAGCAAAAATGTTCTGGTAAAAATACCTTGATCACACACTATATCTGTTTAATACTGTTGTGTTTTCCTTTTCTTCAGGGCTTTTTTCACAACAGTACAAGTTCATCGAGATTCAAACATCATAAAGAAATAGAAGAAATATATATAACTTAGGTGAGATAACAACCACCTATTGCAACTTTTAAAACTGTCATTTGTCTGTCTCCACATGTTGCTTTCATGGTGAGAGCTCACAAGGGACTTTCCTTGGCTAGAGGGAAAGGTGATGGGCTCAAGATAGGAGGAGAAGGAAGTCAAAGCATCAAAAGCGTATTGTAGTATAGTAACTACCAGGTTACAACTGACAGGTCAACTGGAAGTCGATTCCAGGAAAGTTCCTAGAACAGACTATTAAATGGTTGGTCTTTGAGCACTTAGAAAAGGATGCTGTGGATGCTAAGACCCAGCATGGGTTTCTCAAAAACAGGTCATGCCAAATAAATATCACTTCCTTTTTCCTTTTCTTTTTCTTTTCTTTTTTTGGTAGAGTTACAAGCTTGGTGGAACAGAGGAATGCTGTAGACGCAGTGCTTCTTCATTTCAGTAAGGCTTTGGACATCATCCACCATGGTATTATTATGGATAAACTGGTAAAATGTGAGCTGGAGTTAGGTGGACTTGTGGCTGGTTGACTTACCCAACCCAAAGAGTGTTCACTAATGATGGTTCATCATCCTGGGGAAAAGGACTAAATGGGGTGCCGCAGAGTACTGTCCTGGGTCCGTTGTTGTTCAACGTCTTTATAAATTATTTAGATTAAGGAACTGAGGGGATGCTCATAAAATTTGCAGATGACACCAAACTGGGA